ACAGTGGCTTAAATTGAAAGGATATTTATTGTTGACCTAAAAAGAATTGTGGAGGTAAGACATCTAGGTTGATGTTGTAGTCTAGTGAGGTCATCCAAGATCCTAGGTTGTTTTTATCTATCCACTTTACCATCCTCAACTGACAATCTTTAGTCCTGCGACATCTTACCTTGTGGTTGCAAAATGGCTGCTCCAGCTTCAGACATTTATCCTTACACAATAGCCTCCAAAGCTGAAAGGGAGAAAAGAGGGAAAACTCTTCTCCTCGTGCAGTTTTCTCTTTTATCAGGAAGAAAATCTTTCCTATAAGCTCCCTCCCCCCACCCCTAAGCAGACTTCGTTTTACTTGCCATTGTCCAATATTGGGTTACACGCTTATCCCTGGAGCAATTCCTGGAAAAGGGGAATTAATTTTTTGACTTAGAGTCATCATGGTTCATCTTTTGGGGAGGGACACATTGCTGCTGAACACAACCTGTGATCTTTTAGTAAGAAGGAATGGGAGAATGGCTGCTGGACAGACAACCAGCAGCTTCTGCTACACATGGATTCTTCATTTTGCTTCTGTGGGACCCACTCTTGGCATACTTGTTCTCACACTACTGAAGAAGCCATTTGCTGTTTGCCTATCAGTGATCCCAAAGCCAGCTATCTCATTTCTTTGAAATTGTAGGAGCAGAAGCCAGTAAGGCCTAGTGAAAAAAGAATGATAGATTTGAAGGCCAGGCAGACAGGATTTGAATCCCTGATTTACCGCTTACTGGCTGCATAACCTTGGACAAGTAGTTAAAGACCTTAGAGACTTGGTTTCCCTATTGATAAATCTAAAATAGTACCAACTGGCCAGTGTTATTGTATAGATTTAATGAGACAGTGCATAGAAATTGCCTAGCATAGTACATATATCAAAGGCACTTAGTGTGTGTTATTTCCTTTCCCATGTGAATACAGTTGCACAGAAATCAGATTGCATTTAGCTTAGTAGATAGACCAATTCGGAAAAAGAGTAAGTTTGACTTTAGCAGGTTTTTTTTTTTTTTGCTTTTTTCCTCCTTACTCATCTATGTTCACATAAAAGTCCCCTCTCTTATCTACAAAAGACTTGTGGGTAGAAAGCAGTGTGCCCTGTGTTAGGGTAGTCTCCAGTTACTAAGAGAAAGCTATAAAACCATGTATTCATTTCTTAATTGGATTTGCTTAAATATCTCTTAAGTTTAGTATAGGAAACAGAATCCTCTCTAGGTATTTTACACAAAAAAACATTTAATGCAGGAAATAAGGTACTCACAAAATTGGAAGGGCTGAAACAATGGAAGTCAAGAAGTCTGCATTCAAGGTCAAATGGCACCATGACTTCAGTCCAGATGCCAGAAACTCCTCTTATCACTCAGGCTAGGAAACTGTTGCTGCCGTGACTATCACCACTGCCAACATCACCATCTTCCCTACCACACAAAACTGATGAGGGGACAGTGGGCACAGTTGACAACACTCACATCTGCTGAAGCCTATTTTCTGCATGAACAACTGCAGAAAAGAGTTCCTTCCCTTTGATTCCTTCCAAATCACTAAAAGTAGACCCTTTCACAACCTAGGGATAAGGGAATCTAGAAACTGTACTTTCCAACCCAATGCCAGGCTTTCTTCCGCCTTACCCATGTGAAAACCCTCCTTATCTTACTCATCTGTGATGCTCCTGCTGGGCTATCCGCCCATGTGCATTCTCTCTTTGCCCCTGTTTTCCCTCTATGCCCTGTTTGGGCTCTGACATCCTATTCTGGCCTACCATGCTTCCCTATCCTTTCTGCTACAGATGTCTGCCTTGCTCTAAAGGTCTTAGAACTCGATTGTTCAAGAATAGAGGGTTAGGAAAGGGTAAGAGATCTCCTTGCTTTGTTAAAAATTACCATACGTATCTTTGTATTTCCCAACAATTTAGTGTTAGAAGTTTTTGAACTTTATAAAAAGGGAATCATATATATAGTATATAGTCTTCTGGGACCAACTTTGCTTACAATATTATTTTAGTTTTATTCATCCATATTGTTGTTCTCACAAATGAGCTTTGCCATCTTTTAAAATCTTTCTTAATGCATTTTTGCATTTTGGGGGTTATGCTTCATTCTTTATTCATTCAGCAGTCTATAATATTTTCCCATGTTAAGAAACCGCTTCAAAATGAACATTATTATGTTATGAATGGATCATAATATGACCATTTCTTGTAGTTGGATATTTAAGTTAATTCCTATCTTAGAATGTGGTAGATGAAGAAGATAGAAGAAAAAAAGGCTGAGATTTTCCATGTGGCAGACTAGCTGGAAGATGGTTGTTTGCAGAAATGGGAAACCCTGGGGGATGCACAGCTTTGGTGATAAGAAAAGGAATCTGGTTTTTTGAGCAGGTTGAGTGTGAGTATGGAGATATGCAGGCAACAGTTGAAGATTCTAGACTGCCTTTTTAGGAGACAGTTCAAGACTAGAAACAATGGATTTGTCATCAGTACATGAGGAATGGTTTGAGGCAAGTATGGGAGTGAGATGGCCCAGAAAAATAGTCTGGAGATGTGTAAAGGACCAATACTGGATTCCTGGGAAATACTTATGTCCAAATGGCATGCTGATCTAGATGTGCTGTCCAGAGAGTCTGTTTAGAAAGGAGGAAGAAAATCGGGAAACTGTCGTCATTTGGAAGCCACTGCAGAAGAGAGCTTCATGAAATGAATGGGTAGTCATTCATAGTAAATGCTGTAAATGCTGTAGACAAGTTAACCAGGATGACAACTGAGGGCAAAATGTATGTGTGTGTGTATATGTGTGTTGGAGGGCTGGGCGGGGGGAGAAAGTTTGCTTCTCATGTATCTGGGTTTTTTTGTTTGTTTTTTGTCTTTTTTTTTTTAATTGGAATGATTGAAGGTTCACATGCAGACATGCAGTTCAACTATTTCCTTGGGTAGATTCCTAAAAGTGGAATGACTTGATCAAAGGGTTTGAGCATAGGCTTTTGATTCACGTTGTTAGGTAGCTTTCCTGGTTTTCATGGTGTTTTGTTTTGTTTTGTTTTGTTTTGTTTTTGAGATAGGTTCTCCCTATGTTGTCCAGGCTGTTTTTTGAACTCCTGGGCTCAAGTAATTCTCCCACCTCAGCCTCCCTAGTTTCTGAGATTACAGGCATGAGCCACTGTGCCTGGCACCAGTGCTCATTTTTTTAATATGCAATAATGAATAGTTTGTAATTTTGTACACATCTGGGTGTGCAGAGACAAGGTGAGGAAATCTGCATCTAAGGAGAATACAGAATTGGGCTTCTGTAGTTGTGGGTCTTTTCCTAATGGACACAGTCCAGCCCTCATCTCCTCCCCACTTTCTGTTTCCACACTCTACATCTCTCATCCAGAGCACAAGTGGAACAGGGACCATTACTCATTAGCTGCATGGGGATTTGAATAACCTCACAGTGGAGTGGTGGCAGGTAACTACAGCTAAATGCGTGACCAAGATAGAGCTAACTCTAGTCATTGAATAGACTGTGAAGTCTGGAGGGAAGTTCTCTGAATTTAAGATTATAGTTTTGAAGTTTGGCACCTGCTACTACTTCAAGGATTAAGGATTTACTGCTCACTGGAATTCAATATTTAATATTCTAAAAACCATTCAGCTCCAACTTGCAAATGAGTTAAATTAAAATAATACACAGACGTTCTCTCTGAGGCCGTGGTTTTTTTTTTTTTTTTTTTT